AACCTGGAGAGGGTCCAGAGGAGGCCACGCGTATGGTCGGGGGCCTCCGTGGCCAGCCCTATGAGGAGAGGCTGAGGGACCTGAATCTCTTCAGTCTCCGCAAGAGGAGACTGAGGGGGGATCTTGTGGCTGCTACAACCTTATCAGGGGCCACCAGCAGGGACTCGGGGACAGTCTGTTCGCCAGGGCCCCCTCGGAGTCACCAGGAACAATGGCCACAAGCCGAGGGAGGATAGGGTTAGGTTAGATATTAGGAAGAACAACTTCACTGTAAGGGTGGCCAGAGCTTGGAATAGGCTCCCCAGAGAGGTGGTGCTCTCACCTTCCCTGGACATCTTCAAGAGGAGACTGGACAGGCACCTGGCTGGGGTCTTATGACCCCTGCCACCCCCAGTGCTCCTTTCTGCCCGTGGCGGGGGGTCGGACTCGATGATCTGTCCAGGTCCCTCCCGACTCAGTGATTCTGTGACTCTGTGACAGGATAGTGGTCTTCAGAGAGGCTGCCAAGAAGAAGAGGGACAACTTTTGTCTCTTGCTGCAGAGAGAAGGGCATGGCCCAATGGCTTGAAGTCGGTTGAGCTTGGAGATCGGGAATAACTTCTTCACTGTTCGAGCAGGGAGGCGGGGGACTAGATGCCCAGGGCAGGCGGGGACTCTCTGTCGCTGGAGGTGCTCGCCAAGGGGTTGGGCAGCCACCGGTCAGGCATGATCGAGGCGTAGTGAAGCTTGTCTTCTACTACGGGCATTTCCCAGGCTTCTGGGTTTTGCTGCTTGCCCGGTGGTGCTGGGAAGGAATTCGTTTCTTCTTTTGTTGCTACCGGGTGTTTTTAAGCCTTCCTCAGAAGCACTGGGTGTTGCTGGAGCCCAGGCTGGGACTTTGCCTGAGCTGTCCCAATGCTCCTGCTGATATTTAAACCCATAGGTGCCTGGCCAGAGGGTCTTGTACCCCTGCTCAGGGTCAGACTGGTGCCACTTTGGGGATCAGGAAGGAATTCCAGCCCTTGCTCAGACTGGCTTGGACTCTGGGAGATTTTGCCCCGCTCCGTAGTGGAGGCACGGCTCTTCCTGGCATCTCTCAGGTCTATTTTTACACCCTGTGCAGCAGCAGGATGATGGCTACTGTTGTCCCCCTGCTTTACCTGGGGCAGGTTCAGGTGCCATGCCTTGCCGTCGTATCAGGGTTGACAGTGTAGTTTTACTGATAAATTAGCTAATGGATTTGTCTGGGAGGGTTTGGATAGGGATGATCCTGCTTCAGGCAGGGGTTGGACTAGATGGAGCTCCCTGCCAACAACACATCTCTGACTCTAGGTGCAGCCTTAGGCCAGTGTAAGTCTCCCCCCTCTGGGGGGTAACTACCTCTGGGTCGTCAGTAGCTACACACGCGTATAAGTTGCCCTGGTGCACCCGTCATG